ACTTCGTTTTATTATTTTTTTAAAGGTAACGGGAAGCGTAGACAAAACGACACTAAACCCTTTCCTTTAGTTTTATCTAAATAAAAGATAACTGTATTTTTCTCCAAAAAGAAAAAAAGAAAAGAAAAGAAAAAAGCACTATGTACAAAACTGACTAAATCCATCTTCATCGTCGAACAGGAACCAGTAACTGGGTCGCAGTCATGGAATCAGGAAAAAGGCTGTGGTATGTTGGAAGAGGTACATATGCTGCTGTAATCATTTTACCTAAGCAAAAAAAATATGAACAGGTATTACAAACTTTTTTTTTTTTTTAAATAATTACTGGAGAAATTCAGTTTTTTTAATAGGAGTTTACTCACCTGCAAACCACCTTCCATGTAATGCATTGACAGCAGCAATCGCTGCAGCAATTGAGGGGCATTTCACATATACGTTGCCCTAAAAAACACAAAAGCAAGGTTGTAATCTATTAACAGACAATTGTTTCTGCCAGCTGACTCCACATATATGTGGGGGTACCAGAATTAACAGCAGGGTTATGCTTCATTTATTTGGGAACTGCTACTGCAGAACTAGTGCAAAGAGGTTCAATAACACATGCAATTTTTGGAGACAAGCATTACCTGATCAGAAAGTTAATTCTGTTTTTATACTAAATAATTCAGATGGATTTTACAAATCTGAGACCAAGACTGACTAATATTCAAAGCAGCAGAAAGAGACTTCTAAAGGCAAGAACTGGTATACTGTTCCAACAGTGGTTCAACTACTCTCAATTACCTTTCTGAGATTTTATGCACTTATTTTGTATGCCAAACTATACTTATTTCATTAATTCCATTAAATTCTACTGCCAACATTTAAGCAGAAAAGTCACATTTTCAATTACACAATACTAGAATCAGTGGGTGCTCAGTACCCCTGAAAAATTAGCCCACCAAGACCACCATAAATACTTAGTACCCTTAGAAAGCAAGACTGCTGGTATGCATGTTCACAGGTGTGCTCAGATACCTAACCTTACACAGACAAAAATTGAGATGGATGGGAAGGAAGAGGAGATCATAGAAAGATTTTAGTAGAAGTTCCTATATCTACATACCTGCTGGAGTACCAACATTAATATCAGTAGGCAAATGCTATGTCTGGGAACAAGAAGAGTGTGGCAGAGGGGGCCGCCCTCAGGGGCCAGAAGGAGGGCAGCCCAGGGACCCTGGCACAAGGAGGGAGCCATGCGAGCCAGCACTGCGCCAGCTTTTCAAGTGGCTATCAATCAAGCTGGGTGGTGGCTGGCTGATGACATCCATTGCAACTGCTGCCATGGGAGATTAAAAACCCCCAGGAGAAGCCGGGTGCAGGGGGGAAGGTAGGAGGCGAGACGCCGAGCTCACCAGGGTGCTACCCGGCAGAGCAGAATCCCCACAACGCTGTCCCGCTGGGGATAAGCGAGGGCAGTAGTAGGGAGCCAGATGAGGCTTCCCAATTCCGAGCTCCATGGGAAAGGACTTGGGGTCAGTCACCACCCCTAGGGCCCAGGCCGGGCATAGTCAACCCTGAGTCTACGGTGGCACCACAGACACAGGCCCAGCGCAGAGACACAGGCAGAACCAAGGTTTAGGACTGGAAGGCAGGCTGCAACCACAAGCCTGCACTTCAAGGAGAGGTAGAGGAGGCTGAGATCCAGCAGCAGGATACAAGAAGCTGGAGCCAGGAGTTGGCACAGTGACATGACAACCCCCACAGTTGGTGCGTGGACAAGGTATAGGGGAGGCGGAGCCCTGGGATCAACTGCGACAAACCAGTGAGTATTACCATCTCCGGGCCAGGGGCAAAAACACCACTAAACCCCTCCTTTCAGTTACAGTTCCATCAAGTCATGGTAGGCGAGTTGTGGGCTAGCCCAGGGAGTGGGGAGATGCTCACAATGCCAACTGAGGGCGCCACAAAAAGCTATTGCTTAAAGAGGTTAGATGACCTCTTTGTGCAATGGTCCCAAGAACGTATGGCGAGAGAAAAATGACATGCTAGTCTTATCTGCATTAAGACAGCCTTGAGTTTTACATTAAGTAAAATTACACATTTAGTTCAAATACAAGAATAGTGCCAGATTCTTCGACAAAAGAGCATACACCTTTACAAAAGCAAGTATTGTGCATTTCACTTGGATGTTTACTAGGTAAACACACAATTCACCTAACTGCATTATACCATGCTGGTCTCAATATTTTGCCTACTGCTTACACTGCAGTAAGCACTGGTTACCTATATAAACCACTTAAAACATAGGAATTATTTGGTACTACTACTTCCTGATATCCTTGTACTCTATTTAACTGCATAATTGGCAAACCTGATTAGGAACCACTTCAAGGCTTTTAAAAGCAGCTGACTTGGTCCTATCAATTTCAAGGCTGTTACTAGAGGCAAAAGGCCCTTAGAGCCAAACTATTCTTAGTGAGGCACAAAAATATTTACCCTCATTTTATCTGGACTGTAGTTAAGTAATTAGCAGGGATCCTGGTTTTCTGATAAAAAAAAATATAACAACCCAATTTCTAGGTTAAAAAACTAACCTCAAATGCACATTTTCTGTGATCAAAATGAAACACCACTATACATATATCTATGTACTGGTGGTGTTTCATTTTAATCATGGAAAAATGATGAAAAAAAAATTTTTTTTAAATGTGTTACATTTTTTAGCTTGAAAATTGGGGGTTTGTTTTAATCAGGGAAAATCAGGATCCCTGGTTATCAAGAGATCTTTTATAGAACCCATGATCATTTTTAATAGGTAAACAGTATTCTCATATACAAGAACTGAGTCAGAGGTAAGCACTTTAGGATCTTCTCTATCTGGCAGATGCCAAAGTCAATTCCCCAGTAATCTTGCTTAAAACTGTGAGATGAGAAGTCCTCTGAAGGAGATGCAATGAGAATTCCACCATGGTCACCTCAGCTGAATCAGTACAAAGACAGAGTTCATGGTTATGTCAGCTCCAGATAAAAGCAAAATGGTTTCATCCCATCTCTCAGCAGTAATTACTGTAGGTTCTAGTGATTTTCAAACAAGAACCAAAGTTTGACAGATTAAATTTTGGCTTGTGTGGCTTTGGTTTATAACCTGAACTCCAAGGAGGTAGCATTCATTTTAGATGCTGCTCCCGATTTGGATTTTAATTCCTCATGAATAAGGGATCAAGAAGGGCCAGCCCCAACAAAAGGATAAGGATATAACGATGGGATTAGGTGTCAAAGAATCTCATGACCGATGCCATGATGGGAAATGATGCAGAGGAAATTGATCTAAGAACTACATTAAAGATTTCTGGAATCTCCAATACTTCAGACTCATGCCTTTCAACATAAAATAAGAGCATACAGGATACCAGGAAGGAGTGGAACCATGTACTTCAGTCCTTTTAGTGAGCTAAAAAAGAAAGAGCTCTGAATGGTAACAGAGACTGCCCAGAGGCAAGGCAGATGAGTCATAACACCACACTAAAAACAGGCAGTTTGGGGGAGGGGGTCAGGGAGGTGAACAGAAAGGGGAACACAGGAGCAGTAAGATCAGGATCAGGTGTGGTACCTGGTAAGCAAACTGACTGGAGTCTGTTGGCACCAGGGGTGTTTCTCTGTGCTTTAGCACTAAAGATTATATCTATATATAGATACATGCTTCAGTATCCAGGAATTGTCACTGATGTGACTACTAGTTTTTGCTGCTGGCAATAATTATATAACTTCCTGATACCAGGAAGCTTGTTGTCCTAGCTCTCTCATGGCAAGGGTTGGATATATCAAGCCTGGGGTTGGGGTTTTATTTTCTTTTTCAATATGAAGATGCTCTTTTGAGGTATAAGGAATCTGGAATTGTTTCTAACCCAGACTCAGCATCTCCTCAGCACTAAAGTCCATTTTTATCTTGGAGCCAGAAAATGAAGCACCTGAACTGGCTCAAACTCTAGATCCATTGTGAAAGATTTCAATGGATTCACCAGGATGAAACGGGATCCAAATCCACAATCTTTTTGGAGTTAAACTTTACTTTTTCCTTTGAATTGAAGAGGCATTTTCACAATATTTTAATGCAACCTTTTAGCAAATTTGTGTGAGTTTGCAGTTATAGGATGTTTTCAACAAACCTGAAATTATTTTAATAAAACTGCAGAAGTGACTATTCTTCTTTTTTCTGAATTTAATACTTTTTTCATTTCAAAACATTTCTCTGTCCAGCAGCATGCTTACAAATCAAGTGTACTAAAATTAGTTTGATAGCTCAATGGGAATAGACATACCTGTGCTGAATTTTTGTCTACATAGATGTGAATAACTCCTCCATGTTTATTACATTCTTCAATCACATCATCCTTAATTTCTGTATCCCAGCCATCCTCCTCTTCACTGCAAAGAAAAAATTGGACAGAACTTCATATACTTGATGTTGAGCCAGTAAAGAACTACATGCATAGCTAAATTTTCACATTTTAAAACCACGAACTAACGTGTAACAATAAAAATGGAAGCAAGCAATAGATCACCAGGATCCAGGTTTTCAGTTTCCTGTGGGAAAAACATGAATTTCCCCCTTTAGAGGAGGGAGAAAAACGCGTATTTCCCCTTTTGCAAACAGCTCTCTGCAGAATTCCAGCCTCCAACAAGGAGCTATTTGCAAAAAGGGCACAAAATGCTAAGCACTGTCTGGAGGGGGTAGGGCCCAAGAATCTGAGACGTCAGGGCTAGCTCAGACTCGCTTTGTCTCCTGAAGCCTTTGGGTAAGTAGGGCCTGGGGAGCTGGGACCCCCTCCAGCAGAGCTGGCGGAAGCAGGGACTGTGAATGAAGGAGCCAGTGATTTCTTGGTCCCTGTGCAGCCCCTGGGCCCAATTTTGCAGGTTTTGAGGCCTGCTGACTGGCTCTGCAGGGAAGTAAAAGGAAGCCTGGCAACAGGCAGGGCAACTGGGAGGAAGGAAGGGAGAGGAGGAAGAGGAATGCAGGAAGGGCCACCCGTGGGGGCCAGGCAAGGTCTGCCACTTAGCCCATGCCAAGCAGGGACTGCTACCACCCAACCCACTGCCCCCATGCAAGTCCCTGGCCTGCTGCAGTCCCCACCCAGCCCCACTACCCCTGTCCTCTGCTCCTAGGTGCTCACAGCCCAGATTGGTTCCCGATGGCTGCAGCAGGCGTGTCAAAGCTCTTTGGCTCAGCAGTCCATGAACCAGGCTGGGCTAGTACGGCAGAGCAGCTCTGGGATCTGCAGTGGGGACAGACAACAGCAGCATTGGCAGCCTGCAGGGGCCAGCCAGAACTGCAATGAGTCCAGAGCTGTGAGCAGTGGCTCTACTCCACCAGGAAGTGCTGCATTGTACCCACTGCCGCCATCTGAAACCATTTTGGCAGTGGGTGCCTTGGAGCAGCAGGGCAGAGGTAGCTGGGGTGAGGACTTCGGTGGGCCAGAGACTCGCGTGGAGGCAGCAGGTGGGTGACAGTGGTCCCTGCTCAGCAGGGACTAAAAGGCAGTTGGGGACAGACCCCACCTGGCCTCATGGATGGCTCCTGCTGTACCCGCATGCCACCCAACCCCACTTCCCCTCCCTCCCACCTGTCCTGCCTGATGCCAGGCTTCCCTTAGCCAGGAGACAGCAGAGCATGGGTCATAGGCACTGGCATGGGCAGGGACAGGGCACCAGCATGTAAGGGCTGTTCAGTACCACAAAGCAGCATGGGGAATAGCTGCATTTGGACCTGTGTCCTAGTGCAGAGGGGGAGCTGCTCCCAGGAGGGAGTGAGTGTGAGGTAGGCAGAGGCTGTGGGTCAGGTGGGAGGGATACCAGCAGAGCTGGGTGGGACTATGGCTTGGAAGCAAGGACCACCAGCATATTAGGGCTGCTCAGCACCACAAAGCAGTGAGGCAGACAGTCGCAGCAGGTTCCACATCATGGTGAGTGAAGGGGGCAGGGGAAGCTCTGATTTCCCTAATAAAAAACCAAATCCAAATGCCAGAATACATAGACATTTAGAATTTGTGTTATTATAACGATCGAGGCACCAGTAGGCTTCCCAACTGCGTTAAAATTGCAAATATATCTGTGACAGGGGGCAAGCCCAGGGCTGTGTCTCACATCAGCCCACCCACATAAGTAGGGCAGTCTGCCCAGTCTTTCCTGCCATGACTTTCTTAACCTGGTGTAAATGGGCAGACCCCTGCATTTTAAGACCCCGATGCCTAGGGGTTTACACATCACTCCAACCTTCCCTTACCGTGTCCCATGCCTTGCAGATGGCTTGCAAAACAAGTTCTTAACCTCTGACCTAAACTTGGCCTCACCATATCTGAGGATTTACCAGGGTCTTGGCTTCTGGCCAAACTGCAGCCTCAGGTGTCTGTATATTTATTTTGGCCCCTACTCTGTGTGGGACCACCATCCATTATTGCTTCTGCTCTGGGGCCACTCTCCTGCCTTCTCTCCAGGCCACGTTACTGCCCCCTCTGGGGTCTTATACCCCTGAGGGGCTCAGGTGTCTGAAGACATACTTGTCCCCAAGTCTGGGTGACCCACCAGGATGTGGGGGCTGGGGTATTAAGGTGACCCTCCCTGCCTTTCACTGGGGAGTCAACTGGCCTGGCATTTCCGGGGGGCCACAGGTAGCTCCACCAGGCCACACTTCCCCAGCAGGGTGCAGTTTTCAGTGATACCAAGGACCAGAAGCCTCCTGCCATCCCTGTAGCTCCTGCCCTTACCTTCCAAGATGATCCAAGCAACAGCTCAGCCAGGTGATGTTCCTCCAGCTGCCTAGATCTAAAATGGCCACCTCATCAGGGCTGGCCCACACCTGCCTGCTCCCAGTCTTAAAGTGGAAGGCACCCAAAAGTGCCCTGCCACAATATTAATAAAACATTATGTTCAACTGACACAGACACAGTGGCATTTCATTTTAAGCGCAGAAAAATGTAGATTTTTTTTTTTAAATCAGAGAATTTGGGGGTTGCCTGGCATTTCCGGGGGGCCACAGGTAGCTCCACCAGGCCACACTTCCCCAGCAGGGTGCAGTTTTCAGTGATACCAAGGACCAGAAGCCTCCTGCCATCCCTGTAGCTCCTGCCCTTACCTTCCAAGATGATCCAAGCAACAGCTCAGCCAGGTGATGTTCCTCCAGCTGCCTAGATCTAAAATGGCCACCTCATCAGGGCTGGCCCACACCTGCCTGCTCCCAGTCTTAAAGTGGAAGGCACCCAAAAGTGCCCTGCCACAATATTAATAAAACATTATGTTCAACTGACACAGACACAGTGGCATTTCATTTTAAGCGCAGAAAAATGTAGATTTTTTTTTTAAAATCAGAGAATTTGGGGGTTTTGTTTAACAATCCAAAATTCTGATTTTAAAACAGAAAACCAGGTCCCCTGGTAATCACTTACGTTTGAGGGTTAAACATATTGGAGAGCTGGAAGCACTGTGTTGCAAGTGGTTGTACAGAAGCAGCTGCAGCCAGAACTAATTGAAGAAAAAAAAAAAGGGATAAAGCTATTCTATGATCCAAGTATTTTCTGCATAAAATTCAGTTTAGGTAAGGCTATTTCTATACGTACTTCCAGAGTATGATACTTAGATGGAACCCTAATGTTATTCAGATGTAGAGTCAAGAGCAGAGCTAAGTGCAGCTGCTTGCTTATCCACATCAGACAACCAAGTCTGTGTTGGAAAAGGAAACAGAACTCATAACATTCAACGTTCCACTTTTTAATAAAATTCACCACCCACAAAGTAAGACTGGTTTGTTGTTTTTAAATTCTGTGTGGAGCCACTCTGGTTAACATTCTACACATGCTGACCCAAGTAACTAAAAAAAAGTGAACTGTAACTAAAAAAAAAAAAATGACATCTTTTCTGAAAGATTATAACTGAATAAAACTAGGCTGCATCTATTCCAGAAGTAAACTGGCATGTTCTGACAGATTTAAATAAATATCAGCTCTGAAATCGCTTAAGTGTAAACTCAATAATAACACAGATGTTTCTGCTATGTCATAATCACTGAACTATGAAATCTGCCAAAGTTTAAATAATAATCAAATGCCTTTTAAATGTGAATAACTTATTAAAAATTAAAATAAAAATCCAGCCAATTATTTGACTGCTACATAAATCGTTCTCTGTAATTAACTGAAGTTTACTTTTCATAGGACATTAAGTTCATTTTGGAGTAAAGAGTTTACTATTCAGAAAGCTCATTCTCTTTGTAGGTCAGTGGAAATGCTCAGAGGATGACTTGGCCAAAGTTACAGAAAAATGTCATGACTGATTTGGGAACAAAAATCTAGGAATCTTACTCTGGAATGTGTTGTTTACAAGTCCCCCCCTCTAAAATAGGGCCATCCAACTTTTGAGTGGTGGGTGGCCATACAACTTTGACTACCCCAACCCTAAGCCTCCACACTTGCACAGGATCCCTGGGTCCTCACAGCTACAGACTCCTTTGGCCCCATCAGCCCAACCCGCAGAAAGTTGAAGGGAGTTGAGTCTAGAGCAGTGGTTTTCGACTTGTGGTCTGCAGACCCCTGGAGTTCTACAGCCTATGTCTAAGGGGTCCACAAAAGATTATTCAGATACTCTTGATCATAATAATCACACTTACAATTTAAAAAGGGGCCCACACCTCTATTCAAAATTTCAAAGGGGCCCAACAAATGAAAAAAAGGTCACAAACCACTGGTCTAGACAGACTCCAGTGGCAGTAGAATGTTAGGGGAGTTGGGGGGTGTGGAAGCACATCTAGACTGGTAGCCCAAAAGCCACAGGTTGACCCTTTGGGGCCAGCACGTGGACCACAGGCTTCCAGCTTTAGAGCACAGCTGTCTAATATGGAGGGAGAAATGTTAAAAAAAAAAAAGTTTTCTGGTTTATATTAGAGCAACATTTATGGAAGTTCCAGGAAAAAATTCATGTACATGTGAAATTTCTGCCTTGGAAAGCCATTTTAAATAAGCAAGTTACAGAATGAATGGCTGCTACAGATATTAAAAATAGTAATTCCTCAGTGTAGGAATAGCTTTCCATGTATATAACATAACCCTGGTCTGAAAGAACCAATGAACGCTCACTTGACAACTACAGCTTACCTTCACTCTGCTGGGAAAGTCGTGTTTGTAAATCTAAAGAAGAGTGCATATAAAAAGTTAAAAGAGCATCAAGGACACCACACTAGTTCTTTAGCTACCTGCCCAAATCTCTAAAACTAGCTTGGATAGATTTCCTATACATACAATCTTCCCACTTCATCACACATTATAAAACTGTACATGTGCATTCTTTCAAGTAGAGAAAGTTTCAAAGCTTTTAATTTATCACATTGGGTGGCACTCAGAAAATGTAGAAGAGACTACCAAATTCCAATTCAACCACACAAACTGTTTATCAGTCAGCGTTGTTAGAATTAATTCTGCTGCTCAACCACCATCACTTTAATAGTAAAATGAGGACAGTAATGAACGTAAACAGAGTCAGCTTCTCCCCCTCCTCCCCCACGATCAAGATCCATTAATCCACACAAAATACAGGAAATTATTCAACTAGGGCAGACTTTTGTAACTGCAAATTTCCTGACTTCAGAGTTTGACCAAAAAGATTCAACAGGGTAAAAGAAGCTTAAGACGACAATGTATAGAATAAATGACTTGTAACAGTTTCTTTCTGAAGTCAGGAAGTGTTAAACCCTCAAGACACATAAGCCACTTTTCTAAACAGCTTACTCTAAGGTGCCTATGGATGTTCTCATCTAGATGAATATAGCCCAGAAAGCGCATTAAGTCAAGGAAGCTTCTGGCAACAATGAAAACAGCCGTCAGAGTTTATTATTCTCTCCCCAACAGGGAACTGAACAATTACTATTCTGAGTAAGAGTCTCAGAGGCTATGCCCTGGTTCGCAGCAATCCAATCATTTTAAAGGTTAGAACAAGTAAAAAGAGTCATCTTGAAAAAGGGGTACGAGTATCTCTGGCATCTGGACCGAATTTTTTTTGTTTCGTTTGTTTTTAAGGATGTTCTCACCTTGCTTTGAGCAGGGAACAATCTGCACTAAAGATAGGAAAAACTACCTTATGGTATGTTCTCTGTAAAGTCATATGAAGTCTATGAGGGTTAGGGCCACTCTACAAACAATTAGCAAGGTCAATACTCACATATACAAGCAACAGGTAGTTAATTATGTTGTCTGCCTTGATTTTGTTTGTTATTTTGATTTTTCCTACATTATTCCAATCCAACTGGGACAAAAAAAGGTAACCCCCTCCAATTCTGACATACAGAAGTCCCCTGTGATAAACCCACCTTAGGTCTAAACAGTTGAAGAACCTACAGAACATTTGGTGCAAAGGTCAGCTACCAGCTGACTAATCCCTTTGCACCACTTCTGATAGGTTCAGATTTCTATGGGACAAAACAGGATCAAGTTATAGCAATGAGTTTCACAGGTGAATTTTGTGCTGTATAAAAACAAACAAACTTTAAAACCTTGCTACTTTTTATATTAAATTGTACAACTGCACTTAAGTACAACTGAGAACACTTAGATACCGAATTAGATTTGTGTATTGTAACATTGTAGATTATAGGCATTTGTACTGAAAGGACAAGTAATACTAGTTCATGTGCATTTTGAAGAGAGACGAATGAATGAAGTTTGTTCTAACTGGATCTTTAACATTTTCATTAATGGGAAATGCATAGCAAATCTTTAGTAAAAAAAGAATTCTAACGTTTCTAAAACAGTTACATTTCAATGCACTACTAACAATGGTTGTCACCATTATTCTGTATAATCCTTACCACATCCTGTATTAAGCCCCTGTGTTCTACTAGCCTCCTTAGACGTTATACTATTGTTTCACTGTAATGAAAGGGGCATGGGATGACAAGCCAGTAACTTCTAACACTTACAGTGCAGTGCCCCAAAGACTCCACTGATACTGGGAGCTTCACAAGATCAGGACCATTTAGAGGACAACAATGGATTGGAATACATTTTTATGTAAGTTAATTGACAACTGCCATATTGTTACACATATTTTGCTTGTTTTAATAAAGTTATTTTAATGGTGACAGATTAGGTAAGCAGAAATAAACTGAAATGGAGAGTTGAGTAGGACTAGGGGAAAAAGGGGACTGTTTCATCCTATCACCTGCTTAGCCAAGACCAGCTTTGCTTTCACATAAGGCAAGTCTTGGTGAGGCGAGATTTGAAATGGGATACAGAAGCAGTTGCACAAATGTTCCCCAGGCTTCCTCCTCCAAACCACCATGTACAAAAAGTTGCATGGGAAAAAGGATAAACTGCTGAATAAAGTAACTGACTGGTGAATAATAAAAGGGTAGCAATGCTGAGTAAAAGCAAGTGTCACTACTACAAACAACTAATCTACAAGATAAGGAAAGCCTATGTTATGAAGGATTTAAATTATTAAAGAGAAGCCTGTATATATGAGGTGGCAGAGTGGATAAAAGTCAATTAAAACCCCCCCCACAAAACTGGATTTTTAAAAAATGTAAAATCAGCAGGTTTTTTTTAATTGTGTTTTTTAATTTTTTTAAGAGGCTTTTAAAAAAACAACCTATGTAAAGATAGTTTTAGTTTAAAATATGTTAGAGCTCAAAGAGATCATCATGGAATAGGGATTATAACTTCTAATTATATACTACTTGAGACAATATATTCATATAAAACTTTTCTAAAAAGGTTACAAACAGGTCAGAACAGGCCATGGACTATATTAGAGGCTCAATCTCACAAGGTTCTTAGAGGCACCTCTATAGATTAGTAAAGATTAAAGAAAACCACTCTATCTAATGGGACTCACTGCTCAATCTAGAAGATCCCATTAAGCATCTCAAAGTTCCCCAGGAGAAAACCAGGAGCAATGGTCATAAATTCCTAGAAGAAGGTTTCAGACTGGATAAGGAAAAACTTCTTCATGGTTCTGATGAGGTCTTTTTCCTGCCCTAAACTTCTGTGAATCTCTGTGATGCTTAGTTTCAGTTCTGAAATTAGATGAGTCTCTCCAGAGATAACATCCGTGTTAACAGCAGTATATGGAGGTGAGAAAAAACAGACTTGATTACCAGGGATCCTGATTTTCTCTGATAAAAAGGCCAATTTTTTATACACAGAAAATTTATTTTTATTTTTTTAAGTCAGAGAAAACCAGGAACCCTAGTAATTAAATCTGTTTTTTCTCATCTCCATATAATCCCTATTCCATGACGAGACAGACAGATGGACAGATATGACAGAGTGTTAGTTTAAGATGTACATCTTAAACTAAATCTTAGTTTATACTAATCTATATCTTAAACTAAAACTCTCTCTCAGAGAGGCTGCCTCTCTCAAGCAGCTACAGCATGGGGCGCTGGCCACAAGGTGAGCGAGGGGCTGCTTTTCCCTGCGCTCAGCACCAGCTTGTAACCCGGCCCCTGCTGCCAGCCTGGCAGTGGGGCCAGGTTAAAAGGTGGTGCTGAGTGTGAGGAGTGGGGGAAGCAGCCCCTTTCCTGCCATGCCTAGTGCCCCACGCTGCAGCTGTTCGCAGCTGGCCTGGGACTACCTGTGCCTGCTCCAGACAGCTCCATGTGGGCTGCGAGCGCCTGCAGCAGGGAGTGCCGGCCATGGGGCAGGCAAGGGGCAGCTTTTCTCTGTGCAGGGGGGAAAAGCAGCCCCACCCCCGCTCCATGGCCCGTGCTCCCTGCTGCAGCAGCTTGCAGCCCACACAGGGCTGTCTGGAGCAGGCACAAACAGCCCCACATGGGCTGCAAGCAGCTGCAGCACAGGGCGCCGGCCACAGGACTGGGAAGGGGCCGCTTCCCCGCACTTCCCTGCCCAGGGTCCGTCATCCTCCCCCCTTAAATGAAGGCTCTATCAAACAACCAAAATGCACTTTTTCTAGAAATCAATGATTTAAAAAAGAATCAAGGCTCCCTGACCAGTGATTTAAATTGATTTCATTTAAATCAAATCTACCCTGTAAGGTGGAGTGGAAGCCTACAGTGAAGGGACCTGAATCAGTGTAGTATGGCCCACACAATGATCCTGAAAGATTTCATTTACACCTATTTGTGGGGCACCACAAACAGATTGGTTTTTACTTTTTTTCTTCTCCCACGAAGCATAAAATTGTTTCTCCATTCCTCAGCAAAAGTTGCACACCTGAGAGATGTAGTAAGCCCATATAACACTAAGAATCATCTGCACCAAATGCTATGTTAGTAAGTGGCGTTATTTTTATAAATATACTGAAAGACAACTGAACCACAGTGTAAATGGACCACATTATGTTATGTTATCCTGATTGCTGGGTTTTTTGTTGTAGCCATGTTGATCTAAGGACATAGGCAGGCAAGGTTCTTTGAGTAGACATAACTTAAATTTTTAATCTATTGTAAACCCCTTTCATTGCAATGTTAAAGCACAAAATAATCATTTTTTTTTGTGCTGAATTTCAAGACTACATCCTGGCTAAAATAACTTAATGTCAAATTCTTACCTGCCACAGCACCAAATGCTAAAGAGCCACTCATCTGCAGAGCTTGTTGCGCAGCTGGAGGAATTTGCAAACCAGTACCTGTAATGAAAAGCACAAAAATTCTCTTGTACTAGTGTCATGCTTTTCAAATGAAAAGAGAACTAGAACACAGACAACTCTCACACTCTCTATATATCTCTCTCTCTCTCTCTCTCTCTCTCAATCTATCCAAGGTATTCCTCCTTACATAAATGGAATGCAGTTTACAGTTTATTACAGGTAAAAAAAATTGTTTGGCCTAGTCACCCAGAAGTGTTTAAGCAACTGCAATATATATTCTATTTATTGTTTAACTTACCTTCTGCAAGCCTTGCCATCAACTGTAGGCGACCAGTTGTTCCCAAGTCAATTCCAGTTCTTTCCAACTCATCACTATCCAAAAATGAACTGGCACTCGACGCATCTGTGCGTTCAGTTACATGTCCAACTTTCATTGGCCTGCCAGCTAGCTCAAATCCATTCAGTTGTTCCAAGGCCTTTTTAGCACATTCCGAGTCTGAGAACTGTAAAATTTAGCCGCGTACAGTCAGTGAATAACACTGTTCATAGGACAGAGGTCCATTTCAAATACAATGTCTAAGAGATATACATAAGGGGTAGGGGTGTACCGAAAAGATTTTCTTGGTGGATACTAATAACTGAATATTAACCAGCCATACTGGCTGATACTGATCCTATAACTGACATTTAATAATAAAGCTTGAACAAGCTTTAGTTGAAGTGCCCCTACCACCATTTTTAAGCATGGCAACACTGATACAGGAGACATGTGGCACTTTAATTACATTAGTTCTTGGAGCCCCCCCACACTCACCCCACCACCCCCTACTCCTGGAGCACATGTAAAAGTGCCATATGCCACTTGCAGCCCCTGCCCTTAAACCCCAGCCTGGGGGCAGCTGCCTAAGCCCGAGGTTGCCCAGGGCTGGATGGCGCAGACCCATAGGCACTGTGGGTTAAGTCACAGTGGGCTGGGCAGCTCCTCCTGCCCCTCCCCAGTCACATCTGTGACTTTTGGTGCTTTTTACAGTGCCCACCCTGGCCCCAGCCTGTAGTTTGCACTAGCGCCAGGGACACTGCTGCAGCTGTTCTGCTCCAGCCCAGTCCAGACCGCCAGTGTGGGGTTGGGGGCATATCTGAGGTCACCCCAGCTCGTGGGAGGCAACCCAGGTATCTGGGGCCCCAGCATAATTAAATCAAATTGGAGAACATTACTGGCTACACCGGCCAAAAAAAGCCGATAAATTTTCCTTTTATCAGTGTTGATCTGATACACAACCAATATAATCAGTGCACTTCTAATAGGTACATTAAAACTTCAAGAGTAATCTATGGGTTTATTTTAAACAAAGAGAGATCAGGAAGAATAGCAAAGAACAATCAGCTTTGGAGATTTTTTTAAAGTTCATAAAGAACCCTAAAAATCACATGGCTGGAAGGCACGTGAAAGACCATCTAATACACATCTGCAGGTGTCCATCCACAGTGCCAGCACTCAAATTAAATGTTTCAATTGAGAACATGGTTGTAGCTTTCTTTCAGTAATCTGGCAGGCCAGTAATATGGTCTGTGGGCCATATCCAGACTGCCTACTGACTGGATCCAGCATGTAGGTAGGCACCTGCCAATTGATTGCATCTGGCCTAGTTACCCCTGCAGCTCACCGCACAGGGCCGAGCCCTGCCTGCTCCCTCCTGGGGCAGCCCGTGCCACGCTCCCACACACACAACTTCCCTGTGGGGCTGCTCCCGGTAAGGCTGCTCCTACCTGGGTACTGCTCAGCTCCCCCACCTCCAGAGGTTTTTTCCTCCTCTTGCCTCTGCTGCGCTGCTCTGGGCACCAGGAAGTGCAGGGAAGTGACAGCAGCCATGGGGGCACCAGAAAGTGCAGAAGTAACAGCAGCCACGGGGATGCATGCTGGGCAGCACACACCCAGCCAAGTGGGGGGTGGGGAAGAAGAGCTATATTTGAGGATTCCTGCCTAGCATACAGGGCTCCAGGCCACCTTCAACCCACTATGCCTGCCTGGCATAAGCAGCCACCTATAGGCTGCTGAGTAGGTAGAAGGTGGCCTGGAGCTGGAGCCCCAGGCACTGGGGCAAGAGTCACCTAGCTGCAGCTTCTCCCCCACCTACAGTGGTGCAGCAGAAGAAGGCGCTGCTGGAGGTGGTGGGGAGCAGAGTAGTATGGGCAGCTGCAGCCACACTGGGAGCAACCCCACCAGAAAACTGAAGAGACTGCACCTGTACCGCACCACCCAGGTGAGCTCTACTACCAGGGCTGTCCCTAGGAGGGTGGGGGGCAACTTGGGGTGACCACCCTGGGCCCCACAGACAGTGTTGTACAAGCCCCGCTGCTGTGCTCTGCTGCTGCCGCCGCCGCCGCCAAGTGCTGCTGGCTCCAGCCACTCACCACCCCCCGCACAGACTGATATGCTCTGGGTCCCACACACCCCTAGGGATGGCTCTGTATACTACCACCCACTTCAGCACATCCCCACCTGGCTCACATGACCTAGGACATGGGCAGCCCCACACAGTCCCCTCAGCAAATTCTGCCCCCCACATGTATCCACACCCTCCCCCCTGCACAATATACAAGAGTAAGTCTTTATTTTGAGCTACTATGCAATCACCTGTATATACACTGCTAAAAACCCCACATAAATTAGGACAACAAATATTTCTTGAAATAAAATTAAAATCCATTATAGTAGAAGTTTGATTTTTAGTATACGATTTTTTAACAATCCAACCAAGACAGATTTTAATGTGTGTGTAGCCCTTGACAGCTCATCAAAACTCATTAAGTGGTCCTCCAGCCAAAGTAATTGCCTACCCCTGCCCTAGAGCCATACACATCATGAATCCCAGCTGTGAGATCACCCTTCTTTCAGTGGCATTTGAAGCATCTGAGATCATGGACCTAAGCATCTAGGAGTTTAGGGGACAGCGGTTGCCACAGAAAGCCCTAATTTCTGGAATTTGATTTCCCCAAAGGCTAACCTTGCTAGTCTTCAGAGCTTAGTGCAAAACCAATGTTCATTCAAGCTTTGCCTGCAAAGTGATGCCTGAATGTTTAACAATACTAATCAACAAAATCCATTAATTTAACTATGGTACTTCTCTCTGACTTATTAATCATCTAACCATGATGGCTGCAGACACCAGGAATAGCCAGCAGAAAACAGATCACAGCTACATTTGCCGAGTAAACAATATTGCTATGGATTGCTGTGCTGGTGCCTACACTGCTGAGAGTACAAACTAGATCCTCCTTGGGATGAACCTTTTGAATGCAACAAATGTTTTTACGCAAGGGATTTTTAATTGAACAAATTTTGTGATCATACCGTTATAAATCCATATCCTTTGGAGCGTCCAGTTTCACTATCCATCATCAGCTGAATGCTTTCAATCTAAAAATGAAAAGTGTTAAGTTTAAAGTGTTAAACTTTAAAACCTAAAACAAGTAACTTCATTTACTTTTTCCTTCACTCAAGTTATGTTGTGGCATGTTTCAGAGACAATACAAGGGTGTAGCACCACCTAGATACATGGATTAGACTTATGCATGTAACTAATGAAGGAAGTTTTACTATATCCCCATTGCTTTAAGAAAAAAAATTCTGAGTTTAAGTTAAGATAATGTGGAGTTCACCAAGTACTGGGTTGGTTCCTTTTTGGCTTCCCCTAACAAAATCATTGAAAAATTACTTACAGAGGATGATCAGTTAACATATACTGAGTAACTGATGCAAGTATTAGAAGGATTTCAGAGAACTGAAACCAAACTAGAGAATTCTCCCTCCCAGTACTCCAGACTTAAATAAATAAATAAATAAAAATCTCAGAACTTCTCTCAGGACACAGATGGATATAACAACTGTAGTCGTGTCAAAAGGTTACCAAAACAGGTTGTCACAATCCAACGGTTACATTTGCATGGTTCTGTAGCAAAACCACTACAACATTATTAGGGTTAAGGTTAAGTCACGTTAAGTAACTTTAATCAATACAGGATTCATGCAGATGTAGACTGTTCAGGAGGATATGGGCAACTGTTTTCCTGCTGTGGAAAAGAGAGCACTCTCTCAAAAGCTTACATAGACTTATCACCCTTCTTGAAAACAGTCATGACGCTGGCATTCCTCAGGTCCCCAGGGATCTCTTTGTTGTTCCAAATTCATACAATAAAATTCATAGTCTCAGTACCAGTTCCTCACTACCAGCCTTGTATATTTCAGCAGATGTACCATCTCCTCCAGCAGCCTTGCTCTTGGTATCCTTGATGGGACAGATGTTTAAAATAGGAGGGTTGGCAAGGGATAGGTGTTGTGTGGGACGGACTTGATGGTAGTATCTATCACGGTTCACTGATGGTTCAGGAGTCCCTCAAAGTGCTTTTTTTTCCTATATAGGCTGGATCTGTAGTGTGGAACAGTGTCATCTGGTCTGCAAGGCTGCCCACAGGCCAGAAATTTGGCAGTGGGACAAACAGTGGCTGTGGCTCCTCCTGGAGCCACAACAATTAATGCTGCCCTATCCCAAATTTCTGGCCTCAGGGATAGCCCTACATACCAGATAACCTTGCCTTGTGGACTGGCCCCACACTTTCAGATCTGGCCATGTGGAGCCAGATGAGTTTGACACATCCACCTTAATCCTCTGATTTCAGCAGCTATGCTCTGGTCCAGCAGCCTTGTCACTCTTGGTTTCCTTGATGGCACACTAGACTTTTCCTAGGAGAGTTGGCGAGGGATCCCCTTTTCAGGGTATTTTGTGATAGTTTCAATGGTGGTATCGCAGACTCAGAAAACAGCCTTCTACCTCTTGGGGAAGAAGTCCTGTTGGAATCTCAGCGTGGTTTTAGACAGTCTTGTGGGGCAACTGACATGATCTTTGTTGCCTGTCAGGTCCAAGGAAAGTATGGGGAACAACATAAGGGCTGGCCTTCACTGATCTCAAAGCCTTCAATCCCATGAATTGTGAAGCTTTGTAGAAAGTACTGGCCAGATTTGGATATTCTGAAAAGTACAGCTAGGTTCCGAGGCTCCTCCATGACTGCCACCATTCTTTGTAGTGGGTTGAGACACATGCATCTGTCACTGAATTAGGCTCAAGCAAGGGTTCAGAAGTCTACCCGACTGTTTTCCATTTTTTTTTTTTTTTGATAGTCTTCCTGGTTCTCATTAAGAACCACCTTCCTTTTGGAATTGACACTGAATACTGAGCAGATGGAGGGCTCTTCAAATCTGGGATGTTTCTGATTGAAGACCATTGCACTCAAAACAATAATCCTTAACCTTCAATATGCTGATGACTGCACCAACCTTGTGCACAGAGGAAAACCTCCAGACCATGCTGGAAGTCTCTGCAGAAGCCTGGTATTCTTAACATTGAGCAAGAGGCTCACAGTGCTCTATCAGCCTGACCTGGACCATGAATGCAACCCTCCTCCTAATGTCTTTATTCATTGTGATCTGTGGAAAGTCACTAAGATCCAGGTCTACAATGCAGGCATCATCCCCACCCTTTATGGATATGAAATGTGGGTGACCTACCATCGTCATCTCAACAGCCTGGAGCCAACAATGCCTCCAGAAAATCATCTGCATCTACTGGGAAGACTCCCACACAAATGACAGCATCCTTGCCTTGAGTCACTGATCCTCAAGCACCAATTTCACTGAAACGGACATTGTGTGTGGATGCACAGAACCAGAGAAAGCTAGGGTTGGAAGGGGCCTCAAAGCAGGACCATCCCCAACTACATCATTCCAACCAAAGCTTTGTCTAGCTCTGTCCACCTCCCAAGAATGGAGCTTCTACTGCCTCACTGGATAACCTGTTCCAGTGTTTTACTACCCTCCTAGGTGAGAAAAATTCTTCCTGACATTGAACCTAAACTTTCCTTGCTGCAACCTGAGACCATTGCTTCTCGTTCTGTCATCTACCATCACTGAGAACAGTCTAACTCCATCCTCTTTCAAACACCCCTTCAGATAGTTGAAAGCTGTTATTAAATCCCCTTAGTCTCCTCTACTCAAGACTAAATAAGCCCAGTTCCCTCAGTCTTCCCTCATAGGCCTGAGGCCTCTGCTGGACTCTCTCCTATTTGTTCATGTCTTTTCTGTAGCAGGGGCCCAAAACTGAACACAATACTCCAGGTGTGGCCTCACCAGGGAAGAATAGAGGGCAATTATCACTTCCCATTACCCACTGGCAACACACCCAGTATGCCATTAGCCTTTGTGAGAAGGTCACACTGCTGGCTCACATTCAGCTGATTGTCCACTGTAACCCCCAGGTCCTTTTCTGCAGAGCTGCTACCCCAACCTGTACTGCTGCAGGAGATTGTTCCATCCTAGGTGCAGGACTTAGCACTTGCCTTTACTGAACTCAAGAGATTTCTTTTGGCTCAATCCTCCAATTTGTCTAGGTCACTCTGAATCCTAGCCCTACCCTTCAGCGTATCTGCTACTTCTCCCCCAGCTTGGTGTCTTCTGCAAACTTGCTGAGACTGCACTCTATGCCATCTTCCAGGTCACTGATGAAGACAATGAACAAAACTGGCTCCAGGACTGACCCCTGGAGTGCTCCACTTCAGACCGGCTGCCAACTAGACATCGAGCCATTGATTACAACCCTCTGAGCCCGATGCTCCAGCCAATTTTCTGTCCATCTTACAGTCCATTCATCTAGCTCATACTTCCTTAGCTTGCCTGCGAGAATGCTGTAGGAGACTGTATTAAAAGCCTTGCTAAAAATTAAAAAGTGCACCACATCCACTGATCTCCCTGAATCCAGAGCCAGTCACCTCATCACAGAAGGCAATCAGGTTGGTCAGGCATGATTTGCCTTTGGTGAATCTATACCAACTGTTCTTAATCACCTTCTCTTCCAAGTGGTTAAAAATGGATTCTTTGAGGATCTGCTCTGTGATTTTTCCAGGGATTGAGGTAAAGCTGATTGGTCTGTAGCTCCCTGGATCCTCCTCCTTTCCTCTCAAAGATGAGCACTGTTTGCCCTTTTTCAATCATCCAGGACCTCTCCTGATCACCATGAGTTTTCAGTGATAATGGCCAATGGCTCTGCAATCACATCAGCCAACTCCCTCAGCACCCTCAGGTGCATCATATCTGGCCCCAGGGACTTAGAAAAGCTAGATATGTACAAGTACAGGCAATCCTTGACTTACAACGTTTCGAGTTACAACGTTTCGCACCGTTTCATCTTTATGAAGTCAGTTTCGATTTACAATGCTTGATGTGATGCGACGCCAGGCCAGCAAACAAGTTCACCGTGTCGCTCATCTCCCTGGAGAACATCTGTCCAAACTTGCTTGGACACTTTGTTTAAGAAAGCAGAGAGACTTCAGAAAAACTTGCAGCCAAGACTCCCAAGAAGACTCCAGGCAGGAGCCCTTCAAAAAGTCCAGCGAAGTCGCCTCAAAGAAGCCCTTCCAAATCAATATGATTGCTATTTATGATGTAAATACATTAATGTAGCTATATTACTCATCCATAGTTGATTGAGTACAAAATTCTGGGGTATTTTTGGTGAAAATAGGGTATCAGGCCTTGGTTCAGGAACCAATCCCCTATTTATAACACTGTTTCTCATGATAAAATTGGTTCCAAGTTACAACATTTCAACTTTAAGACAGTTTTCAGGAACCAATTGTGTCGCAAGTCTGAGGACTGCCTGTAGTCCCTAACCTGTTCTTTTACCACTGAGGGCTGCTCACCCCTTCCCCAAACTGTGCTACCTGGTATAGTAGTCTGGAAGCTGACCTTGCCTGTGAAAAAACACTGAGCACCTTCAGCCTTTTCTGCATCATGGTACACAGTTGCCTCCCCCATTTAGCAAGGGACCCACACTTTCTCCAATCTTCCTCTTGCTACCAACACTTGTACAAAAGCCCTTCATATCCCTTGCTAGCTGCAATTCCAACTGCGCTCTGGCCTTCCTGACTTCATCCCTGCATACCTGAGCAATTCTTCCCTAGTTATATGTCCAAGTTTCCACTTCCTTTTTGTGATTTATTTTCCTGAAGAGCCAAGCTGATTTCCCTGATCAGCCAAGCTGGTCTTCTGCTATACTTGCTAGTCTTCCTGCACATTGGGATGATTTGTTTCTGCACTCCGAGTCTTTTGAGGTACAGCCAGCTCTCCTGGACTCCTCTCCCCCTGTCTGGCTTTCCAGGGGATCCTGCCCATGAGCTCCCTCAGTGAGTCAAAGTCTGCTTTTCTGAAGTCCAGAAACTGCCTAAATCTGCTCCCAAAACAAGTGTTCTCCCAGACTAGTTACAGACTGAGATCTTGTAGTGGCCAGAGAAAATGCTACAAGGATATATTGAAAGCATGTATCTCAAGAAAACAGATGCTGAAATAAAGAGCTGGGTGGGGGGAACTGGCTACTAATAGACTCCAATGGCTCCACAGCCACAACCTCAACCAAGTGGCAGCCCATTTCAAGTTAAATTATCTTGTTTTTGAAGCAGAGAAGAGTGCAGAGGATGGAAAAGGAAAGAAATCCAGGCCTACTCTCCCCTGCAGAAAGACCTGTAACTTCTGCGGACAGGTCTCTCTCTCAAGGATTGGACTCTTACATCACCTGAAGACTCATCTGAACCATGGCGGAGATCATGCTCAAACAGAGTGCCACCAACAATGATGGAGGGATAACAACTGCATCTTAACAGCTGCTGCATACTCCCAAGCAGCAGCTTTTTGCCCCTTTTAAGGTAGCTAAAATGGCCGCATGTCTATATCCCAATTCGTGTAAAGGTTTAAGAACACACTTCTGGCATATGCTCCTGCTAGGCATGCAAAACTGAGAGTGCAGACATCTAACATCTGAACCATTCCCAAATGTCACAGATTGGGAACTGGCCAACACTTGTGTGAAGTGCTATGGCTCTGATACCAGGTGGTGTGAATGGGCATCCTGCCTAGCATGCCTCACAATGGGACAATGGGCATGGGAAAGGTGGTTTGCACTTAGGGTCTCAGGGAGGTGGATGACCTGTGGCTGGGATGTTTTTACTTTTTGCTTTCCCCTTCCTCCTAAGCATAGCTCCAATAGCTAGTATAACTCCAATAGCTTGCAGTGTGCTTATTGGGGAGGGAAAGGCATGATGAGGGGCTGTGGTCAAATAGGGAGGGAGAACACAGCCGCTTGTTAGAAAGATTTTACTGAATGATCAGTATGCCTCAATAAAACGTAAGGGGAAAAAAGAAGGGGGGTAGGGGCAGTAGAGTTTTGCCTGCATACCAGAGCAGTCAGTTGCCTATCCACTTCAAAGTTTAAACTGCATTTTATACCATTTTAATTGTTGTGTGTGTGTCAATGCCCTGAACGTATCTTGTATTTTTATCTTTCAGAAGACAAACAGAATTGTTGGAGGCCAGGAGAAGTACCCTGAGGTCACTTGCACCCAGATGAAATTAATTACATTCCTTACTTCCTTCCTGATTTCATGATTTAAAAGACAGAGGACGATTGCATAACTGTTTAGAATAAGAAAGCACTGCTGAGAGAGACATACATCATGGCAGGCTGTGAAACCAAATCTTCATGAGAATGAAGGCAAAAACTGCCTGAGTCACAAGACAATTCAATCACAGATAACTCAAATAACTATGTATTCAGAAATGTTCAGTGTATGGTTTAGTTTCCACTTCTCACAGGTTAGTCACCAACTTCTCAGCAATCCATATCACCTACCTGTTCAATACAATGGCTGAGTAATAATGCAATTCTTAAAGTTCTTTTTCTTTTTTTTTTTCTTTCTTTTTTTTTTTTTAAATAAAGTCTTCTCTTTGTTTTTGCAAGGAATCGGGATACTTCAACCCTCAGGGATTCATGAGAACATAATGAAGAATCAAATATTGTAACAGTGGAGTCCTTCAGGAAGCATTTTGTAAACCCTGAATCTATTTTGGAATTGTTATATAGTCAAACAAATGTAACATATGCATTTAACCCTTCTCTTAGGAATGAAAACTCACTCGGCCAAATGGTTCAAAGATTCCACGAAGCATATCTTCTGTTATGTTGAAGTGTAATGAGCCTACATAGAGTCGCATAGGACCAGCACTGCCCTTTTGTAGGTTATTGGCCATTGCTGCTGCTCTGTTTTTCTCGGCCTAAAGAAAATTAAATTGTCATTTCTCGTAAAACTCAAGTGAAAACAATACATGTACCAAACTTATTAAAAATAAGTTCCAAAACTCAAACAGTAAGTCTGTATGTGGATTAACTTCCTAGCTTTTAAGTGCCAAAGTTCTTCTAAAATCTTCAACCTCAATGAGCTGAAGATTTCTGATTCTGTTTTTTAGTAACTAAAATGCCCTTTGTTTTCTATATGCAACAGATGACATTCATAAAAGATAAACAAATGTACTTTTGTACAAACAACAATTCTATGATCCCTTTGAAAACTTTAATGGTTTCCTCATCTTCTGCATTTTGCCTTGTACTAAAGGCTGTCACCTTCTTGCCCTGGATCTTTTATTGGCAAGTGATTACTTCTGTATATTATGTAAACAATTCCATATACCTTTCCAGCCATCCTGAACTTTGCTAGAAATTGGCTCTTTGGAAAAAGACTGAAAGTTTCAGGAAGCCTGAAGCTCAAACGACTGAAATGTAATGAGTATAAGGAAAATCTCTTTCTCCAACCTAAAACAAAACAAGACCTGCCTTTCCTTTCTAACTGGGGACAGTGTTCTGAAATTTTCACACTATTTCTTTAGTAGAAGTGCCAGATTTTCCTGGTGAAAGTTAGTGACTCTGAGGCCCCCCTCATGTTACAGGTATTGCACAATTACTTGGTTAACTGGGCAATTACCTTAAGACCCACTACACATGCAAGTTCCAACCAGCTATAAAGTTAGACTCTAAAAAGGTGAATTAACTTTATAGCTAGGAAACCTACAAAACACTTCCCAGAGATGAGCTGATGAACTTCACTTCATCAACCTCCTGGATACTAAAAATCATGGACTGAATATAGACATTGGATTTATGATGCATTATAACCTGCCTGACATCTGACTCCCCAGGTACTTCTCAACTATTCATCCCCCTTCCCCTCACCCAGCCTGTCTCTCACACATTGACTCCTCAACCTACATCTTCACCGACTGCCTGCCTGTCTTGTATGCATACCAGCCCAGCCTCTGGCTGCTTTACTTTTCATTCTATCCAGGAAGAGCGCACACCAACTGCTGAAACTTCCTCAGCCTGATGAAGGATTTTTGAACCCAAAAGCTTCCTTAAAAATTATTTTCCAACTATTTAAGTCGGTCTAATAAAAGATATCAGATTCACCCAAAGAACCTTGTCTATCAATAAAGATTGCAATTTTAAGTTGATGAGCATACAGAGAAATTATACATTTAAAGCCCAATTTTTCTCCAGTCCAAAATGATTGGCTGTCTCCTAGAGTCCTGTCTTATTCTACATATATCTACACATTTAACGGTAATTTTGCTTCTTAAGTGAAGCCCGCTGTGTGTGGGAAGACACACTTGTTAACTGCAAGTCAACAAAAGGAATCTGGCATCACACTTCAGTGACCTGTATTAGAAATCTGGAGTGCCAGAGCTAGCTGTATAAGTATTGACCTTACACTGAAGTGTGCAACTCCAGGCATTTAAACAAAAACAACTGACTGTAAATTAAAAAAATGCCAGTAGTTGAACATGCAGTTTTCCCCCCAATTTACTAGTTGTTCATGCTTCACTAATATGGATTAGTGCATGGTTTCCTTAAGCACTAAATGAAAATACCAATTGTAATCAAAGGTGAAAAGAAAATACACTTTTGATCCCCTCCCAACCTCTGAATTTTCTGGCCTCATTTGAACTGCTACTTCACACAGTAGTATTAGTACAACATTGATATAAAATAATTTATTTTGATATACAAACAATACCTTTGTAAATGAAGTAAAGCCTTACTGAAATTAACCTGACTGCAACAATACTTATTCTCATCTCTTGGTCAAGCATCTGGGCTACAGTATAAGAGATTGCATAAATCACAGTTAACACACAACCAAGTATAGCTTACCTGTGATGCTTGTACTATGATTGGTACCCCCAGAACTCTCTGTCCAGTTAGTCCTATTGCCAGGGGCACTGAACTAACATCAACAAATTCTACATAAGCAATTCCCTTAGAACGTCTGGAATTTCTATCAGAAATCATTCGCACATCACGAACCTATAAAATGAAAGAATGAGAAGTTTTTCTAAACAAAACTAATTTGCATGCAGTTACTATGGCATGCAGCCCTCTGGACCACTGACTCTTAAGCTAACTTCAGTGAAACTGTTTCTAAACAAGTAATAGTTGGAGTGGTTCTGTAGCTGTCAGTCCAGGAAATATGTAAGCAGCAAGGGTTTTTCAGTTGGGTGACGTAAGATCTCACACAAAAATCCTTGCTTCTATAACAAATAAGGATTTAGCTTCATAAAGTCAACTTGACTATCACAAATCTGACACAAAACAGAAGGGAACAGATGGAGTTTTCTAAAAATTCACCTACCAAAATACTTATTTACGAAGAGACCTCATTTGAAATAGTATTTTAAGAAGCACAATCATTCACAACAATTAAAGTTACTTAAATTAGTTATCACAAGTGAGAATTGTGCCCCACTGCAATAGGCATCATACAAATATGAAAAGGAACGCCCCCCCACAAAGAGTTTAGCATTTGATCCTGTCAGCTCTGACACCGAGTTTAACCGATTCCTTAATTAACAGATTTCCAAGTCAAAGAGCCCTAACAAAGCACCTAAATTTTTGGAAATAACTTTAGTGCTAGAGGACGCTCTGTAAGAGCCCCCAAAGATTCAAGCTCACCCAGGAAGAGCACACACCAACTGCTGAAACCTCCTTAGCCTGACGAAGGGTTTTTGAACCCAAAAGCTTGCTTAATAACTATTCTCCAACTATTTGGGTTGGTCTAATAAAAGATATCAAATTCACCCAAGGAACCTTGTCTGCCTATGTCCTTAGACCAACACGGCTACAACCTAAACCCCTGCGAGATCACTTAAAGCACTCTCATCCAGCGCCCACTTACCTTTCCTACAGTAGAGAAAAATTCTTCCAAGTCTCTTGGCCGAATTCTTGCAGCTAGTTGCATACAGAATACTGTTCGAGCATCTCTCTCTTCAGGGGTTAGATTATCAATTGGCTCTCTGAAACAACAGAAGTTTGAGTTTAGCTACTTCATTTCTGACACAAGGTCACTGACAGGTTGAGGCAGAATATTTGCTTTTCATATTTAATAATTTTGCAACAAGGGTAATGCAAAATTTACATTAACAGCCTACTGTTCAATTGTATGGATATTCTATCACCTCAGATTATAGAGGATTTTTCAAATATTCTCCTTCCATTCTAAGCAGTACTGATGTGCAATTTTTGGAAACTGGCAAACTGAAGATTCAGATTCAGTTGTCTCCCCCATTCTAGTAGGAGATGACTAATACACTTTAAAATTATAATACAATGGCCAAAAAAAAAAGTGAAAATAGCTACCTGACAGGGCTCTTGTCTTTTCTGAATGGACTTTTGCTTCTGGAGCGCCGTCTGCTGTAAAGATAACAAGTTTGACAACATAATCAGAAAACATACAAAATACCAGCCCAGTTTGCAGTAAACCTATTAATTATGCACAAAGGTAGAAGAAAAAAAAAAAAAAAAAAGAAAAAAATCAGAAACCTTAATTTGATGCTGTGAGGCAGACCAATCTTCCCTCTGATGGCACTGTTGAATTTTGGACCAGAACTAGATTACAGGCAAAAGAAAGAGAAGTTACTTATAGTAAAGGAGCTCATCAAAACTTACTGTCAATTTGCACATCGCATTGTAGATGTACATGTGCCTCATGCACCCAAACTAAGATTTTCTTTCCCCCTTAGTAGTACCTACACAGTGCTACTCCTCCTTCTGCTCTGTACGAAAAGCCTGGGGGGGGGGGGGGGGGGGGGGGGAGGGGGGGGGGGGGGGGGAGGAGGAGGAGGAGGAGGAGGAAGGACACGGGATGGGACGGGGACAGGATGGGACAGGGGACCAAGGGGGGAAAAAAAAAATCAGTGCCCACTTCGTCTTCAGTTCCTTCCGAGCCAGAATATCCCAGGACGCATAGGATTCTGAGAAAGAGCAAGATGGAAAGCAAGATAAGGATTGTGCATATGGACAACATTACTATAACTCCACTTACTCTGGAAACTCACTCCTTTCTCCTCTGAGTACTTGCCCATATGCATGTTCCACTGTAAGCAATTCCAAAGTAATGCCCAGTTCACCTGGAGGCAGGTCTTGGGAGTCTAAGTAAATAACTAATTTTCCCAAATGCAGGATCTAATCCAGGAGCTTCAGTGCTAGCACAGTGCTTAGTGAAGGTATGAGTTGAATTCGAAGTACAGTTCAAGAGGTGCTTGGATAGAGACATTCTGGAAGGAGGCCACTTATTGGTTGGCTGATGCAGTCTAGATCCACGCAGTCTCTAGGCAGCGATTCTTTTAGCCATAGCAGAAAAAAAATGCAAGGTACAAATAGGCACGGAGCTCTTATGAAAGGCTGAGTCCTGGTTAGGAAAGAGCCCTTTTAATGTCCAGTGTGTGCAATGATGCATCTGCCCTGAAGGAACAGAGCTTTGGGAAGAAAGCTAGAAGATGGAATTCCATTACTACCTTAAAGCTAAGGATTGGTCTCAAAGAAGGGTTTGTTTAGAAGAACAATTTAAAAGGAACCTTCCAGGAGAATTTTGATCTCCTTTATCCTCCCTATCAAATGCTGGCAAAAGAAAATTCATTTCAGGGGCACTGTGCAGGTTGTCACTGGCTCCAACGGTAGTTTTCAGTCTTGAAGAGTCTAGATTCAGGTCCTACAGGGAGATCAAGTTGCTCCTTGGCACGACACCTTACTCTGGCCCTTCTTGAACTTCAGCATTGCAGAGAAGGTAGACTAGCATTCCAAAAGGTAGCTGATGGACGAAAATTATTCTGTTAAGATGTCCCTATTTGCTACGATGGTTCACTATGCTTCAGCTCGAGAAATTAGACTAGAATGGCTGGGATAGAAGCCTGGAAGGGGACATCATGATTCCAAGTCAGAAACCTAGTCCATTTATCCATATATCTGCAGGCACAGCTGGGGCTACTTTGAATCTCTAACAAAAGAAGAGCATTTTTATTTTACTGCTTGAAGCCATCCAGCATCCACGCAGATATGGTGGGTGTTCTGGTCCAAGTCCTGAAGAGTGGAAACAGGAGTAATCTCAAGTCACAGTACCTCACAACAATATGCTTAGTTATGGAATCAAAAACTTCCTTGGCCAACCTAGAGTTAATAGGATGAATTGTACATTTTTTGCCTAACACTGCAGATCATCCTGGGAATCAGAGTAGTCATTAAAGCATACAACGGTTTTCTTGTCCATAGAAAATGTCAGGCAATTGGACCGAGAGTCTTGGCTGAGGCCTCCAAGGCTCTGAAGGAGGGAGAAGTTTCCCACTACATGACACTAGCCTAAGATGACATACCACAGGAAAAAGCACTTAATGTCCCTCTTGTACCTCAGGGAGACATGCCAGCAGAAAGTGTTCACACAGATTTTATGAAGGTCCAAATGATGTAACGCCAAAAGGTATACAATATGACAGTGCATCAGTTGAGGCTGACTGCTTCCTTCACCTTCCTGCAGCAAAGATGGGCCCTTTGCACGCTTGTTATTTAAGTAGGGAGATGCTGTTGTTCCATCTAGGATATTGCTAACATACCCGTAAGAGACAAAAAGGTAGAATCGTTTATAAAACATGCCCAAATATGAGCCACAAGTATTTCCTGAAGAAAGGCAAGATGGTAATGTAAAAAAAAATCATGGAAGCCGATGCAAGCCTGCTAATCCCAGGGGATTATGGTATTGCTATTTTGACACTGAGTTTATAGCATCATGCTTTCTTAAGTCCCAAATGGGTTGCCATCCGCCTTATTTCTGAAATCAAGAAATAACCATTGTAAAATCACTATCCTCAAGGATGAAGAACTTCTGTATGACTCCAACCACTAAAAGTGGCACCACCTATCACAGGACAAAGGCTTGGCAGTAGGCAAAGCATTGGCTGTAAACAGGCAACGGGTTGCCAGTAGGCACAGTGGCATAGCTAGCTGTGTTCATGCTTAAGACCCACCAGAGATCATTGTATAAACAGACTCAGGCCTGTCCTGATATTGGCCTAATTATCACTTGAGAGTGGAGAAATGGTATCCAGAATCCCGAAGCTGGGATGGGGGACTGAGTGCCTGCATGCATGTACCCCAGCCCAGCAGGTCAGTTTGTAGAAGAGGGAAGGGGCAGGGGCTAGATGGTGGTGCAGACAGGGCCACAGAGACAGGAACAGGGAGGGGTAAGTGGAGTGGGGTCCTGGCCAGGTGGGACTTACCTGCTGGGGAGGCGTGCCCCCCAAATAATTTGTTCTCCCTCTGCCTTGATCTGCCCCCGCTTCCCTCCCCACAGACCTGCTGGACGGGGAAGGGGTGGCAGCAGCACATGGTAAACCTTATGTTGCTTTTAAATGCCAAAAGGTGACCTCCTATTTAAAAAGGTTGGAGACCACTGATCTATAAATAGGGACCTACCTAAATCACAAAAGATGCCTTGGTTTTTTTGCTGTCCCAGCACAGTATGCAGCACCATTCTGCAGTGCAGAGCAGCACAGCAGCCCCCACAGAAGCCCCTCCCTGGACACAGACAGATGACTATCTGTAAATATCTGGGGAGGGGTGGGACTTGCAGGGCCCCATAGCCAATGTCCAGCCCTTCTCTGTGCTCCAGGATGCCTGGGCTTCCCACACTTTCTGTTAAAATTGCATAACTGCAAATTTGGTAGGTCTCTATAAGAAAGCTCTTGCCAATGGTTGGCTCTGTGATCCATTCCCCAAAGGCCTCCCAGGAAGCAGAGGGTAGCTTCTCTATGAAAGATATTTACCTTTAACAGACTGAGATGGGGTGGGGAGAGCAGAAGAGAGGAAATCTTACTCATACAATGGGAGAGAGAAAGCTAATCTGTCACCTGAAAATAAAGGTGAACCAGAGAGTATATTTTATATTTTCCTGCCAAGCAAGTCCAAGTTTTTACTTATGCCAGATCCATAAATGGTCTCACACAATAAGGACAGGTCAACTTGATGGAAAATGCACTGTAAAACAGTTGCTAGTCAATGCGTAGGCACATTAAATTCCTTCAAGGAGATCTGGAGGCTGTGACCTACCCATAAATCCCCAGAAGTCATCTTATTAAGAGGCTGTAAAATAACCTACTGCCTCATCCACTGATATAGGAGAACAGTAGGTTGGAGTTGTCACAGATTTGTGAAAGGTATCTGGAGACAGAAGATCAAGTGGAGGTGCTGAGAGAATGGTCCCTGTACAGGAAGACTCCAGCAGTGTGGACAACTCCAACAGTCCATTAGTTGAACTGGGACCATGGCACAGGGTGGGATAAGACCGAGATAGGCTACTGAACTGCCCCACATTTCAGAGCTGTGGAGTGCTTCTAACACAATTGCCTTTATGTTTCCACTGCCAAAATTCACTCCCTGAAGTCAGGGCTCACTGCTAAAGCCAGAGACCACAAAAAAATCTCAGAGATGACAGGGCACAGAGTGCCTCCTCAAAGAAACACTGAACATGGATCTGCCCCTCATGCTGGTCCCGGCACCATGGTTCGTCCTAGTCCAGAAGTGAAGCTGTTGCAATAATACACTTCTCAACGACATGCAATTCCACAAAGCAACAGATACACTTGGCATGTCCACCAGTTGCAGCCACGGCCCTATATGATGAAGGGCATGTCTGGAGAAAGCCATGTTGAAATGCTGAGATTGAAAGTGATGAGAGAGATTCATTGTTGCTGAAAATCAAGTGACAGGTCCAACTTGCACTGTCCTCCTTTGCCACAGGTATATAAGGAAACCAAAGGCTAATGAGAACATTGCTTTAAAATGTGCTTCTAAGGCTAAACACTAGTCTGTACAAGAAAAAAAAAAGATGCTGTATCTTGAGAGAAAGGCAACAGAGGAACTGGGGAGCTGGAAACATGCGCTGTCTTGTATGTTGTTTGTGCAGAACAAGGGAGAAGCAGGGTACATGTATACTAGAGAAATACTTCTAACTGTAAAAGTCTAAGTTTGGGTGCAAGAGGGGCAGTGGCATGTGTATATGGACAAGCACTAAAGAAAACAGCTTGTTAAAAATACAATACACAGCAGGAGAAAGTGTTTTGCCAGGCCAACGCTGACTGACTCAGTATTCTATTACCTCATGGCTCACCCTCTGCTCCCCACACTGCACTGCCCTGCTCCTGTGCAGTGGGTGCAGACAAGAGCTGGAAGGAGAGCTCAGAGACTGCAACTGCTTTTACAGCTGGAACCATAAGGGGAACAGCAGTAGCTCGGCAGGAGCCCAGAGGCCACAACCTAACCCCTTGCAACCCCTGCTTCAGGAATTAGTTTGACAAGTACAGAAAAGCTCCTCTTTTGATGATTCCAGTAATCCTCTATGTTACAATGTGCGTTACACCTGGGAGAATTTGAGGTTTTATTGTTAAAAACAAAAACAAAACACACACACACACACACCTGAGCCAAACTCATTCAAATAAACAACTTCTCACCAACTACAAATGTTCTTATTTTTCATTAGTTATACCTGGCTGACAAGCAGCAACAAGGATACTGTTCAAGGAGGAGTGGCCAGGGTGTAAAAGCTAAGCAACTCCTCACCCCCACAAAAAGCCTCAAGTCATGATTAAGGGCATTTCTGAAATAACTATGCTCCTCTGTTCCTTGTAACAAGCCTTTTCACATTACAAGTAGTTAAAGACTTCATATGACATCTTCTCTTTAACATTCATCTGAAAACATGTTTACTTCCTGCTTTGTGCACCAGCATTATCTATGCCAGCAAAGCTCTGAGACTATACTTGATACCTGTTGCAAACCCAGCCACAGTTTTTACTCATCAATTTAACTGGCATAGCTAATTTAAATTTGCTTTTTATTCTTAAATAAAGGTAAAACAGGAGGCAATAGAAATGTTTACTTTTCCTCTACATAGCATAGCTTTGAACATTTTTTTCCAAAGACTTACTCAGCACAGTGTCCGTTTAAAAACCACACTCAATTTGTACATCAAACAACTTACTATGGGCTCCTATAGCGGCCTCTAAATCTGCGATCTCTGCTTCTAGAACGGCTACGTCTGCGTTCTTTGCTTCGGCTGCGCTTCCTTTCCCGACTTCTGCTTTTTTTCCTGTCATGATCACGACTTCGTTTGCGTTCCTTACTTCTGCTCCTCTTCCTGTCATGACTCCGACTCCGACTCTTGCTCTTTTTTCGCCTGAAAAAGCCAACTCACGTTACAAACGTAAGGACACCTAAACATTGGTTTTGCAATTATACCATATAGCTTTCCTCAGCTCATTAGATTGTTTTCTCACAATGTTAATTTTACTGCAAGATTAGTGCCTGTGACATCAGCTTGCAGGAGTAATACTTCCTATATAGACATATGTTAATGACTTATTAAAAAATGGATCAGTTATGAATCTAGTAAAAACTGAGCATAAATAGGATTTTGAATACTCCAAGGTTAAGTTACACATCTATTTGACTAGGCCTTGTAATTCTTAGAATACTAAGTAGTCAAGTACAGATGGAATGGTTGGAGATGTTTCCTCAGGCATCTATACACCAATCTGTGTGGATGCTAGGGAGGGACAGATCACTCTAGATATATCCAGTTCAATGCTCTCTCTAAGGCTAAGTATAGACAGTCAAAAGCCTGAGGCTGACTTGATTCACAGGTTAGTCTAAGCTGTAGACTGAACTGATAAGCAAGTGAATAGACTGTCACTTTCAACTGACAGCCACATGCCTGCAGCAGGCCAGGCCAGAAGCTGGAGGGAACTAGAGCACACCTCCCTGGCTCAGTGGGAGCAGACAGCTTCGACCAAGGCTAGCCTGCCCACCATGCAAGGGGTGGCTTGTGTGGGGAGGTGCACAGCATCCACGATGCTGTGGGAATGTGAATTAACTTGAATCTGGAGGGGATCTGGGACGGAAGTTCAATAAACTAATTTAACCTAAATCAGTTAAGTCTGACACTACATCCATCCAGATTTATCTTAAACTGTTTTCAGCCATTTTGAAAGCAGTTTATGTGCATTGAACTCCTATTGTATTAAAGATATGAACTGGTTTCCAATCACTTTTACTGGTTTGTGTGTAACTTCTCTCCCTAGCTTAAAGCATCAAGTTTTGCCACTGGCAGAGACAGGACTCTAGGACAGATGATCCATGTCTGACTCAGTATGGCACTCATGTTCTTAAGTATGGTAGTGGGGCTGAAAACTTACAAGATAAAATGTTAACTAGTAAATTCAAAGTAAAACATTATTGTAAGGTTTCAGAAATTTCAAGGGGACAACCATATTTTCAAAATTCACTAAAGAAACCTAGGTTTGAGTATAGAGACAGAGTTTTCAAAGTAAAAAAAGTTAGGAAAACAAGGTAGAGAGATTATATTTCCCTTCTGCAACACTGCTCAAAACAGAAAAGTGCCAACTCATTTTCAGATACTATTAACTACATGATTCTCAGAAAGTTGTTTGAACTCCACAGCCAGGAACACATTAGCCACATTCTTTTCTAAGACAAGGTATTGTTGTAAACTAACTACAGACAGAGAAGAGCATTCTAACAATAAGATTACCATACATTTTAAAATTTCTTTTAGTGCCTGGCTGTGCAATAGAAAAAGCAAAAAACTCCTTCAGTACAGCCTACATATTTTTTTTAACTTTCCTTGTTAAAAATCAGAATATTGTTGTTGTAGTATCATGTTAAAGAGCTTTTGGTGTACTCTGCATATTTGAAAACAGAACACTCTTTGCCTGCTTCCTGTTATATGACAGGACAGGAGAGGGAAAAAAATTCTATCAGATTGTTAGCAAAGACACAGCTCAGATCCAATTTCCATGTTACTGAATGTCTGAACAGCCATGTTGGCTACATGCTGCTATCTGAACTGGCCAGAAGGCAGCCAGCCTACCCAAAGATACAAGCAGCAATTCATCTACTAACAAGTTTGATCACCTCCATTTATCATTATCCCCCAACTTTTCTAGATTAATAACTTTATGTAGCACCCTATTAAATGTTCATGGGAGTTCAGAGAATAATGTACCAAATCTTTCCTCTCTCTAAAAATAAGTCACTTACTAAAGAATAGTATTGGGTTGTATTGTCCAAGTTATATTTGGCAAACCCATGTTGCTTTTTACACAACTTTATTAACATCTCCATGTCTTTCTACTAAAAATATACACAGTTATCTATTCTTGTCAGTATCACCCCCCTTTCTAAATATTTACACTTAACTGCTATTCTTGAGTAATATAACAATATATCCTCCCTTAACCGCACTGTATTTTCGTGCATATAGCCCACCCCCGGATATAAGCCGCACCCACGTATAACTGATAGAAAATTTTATTTTTGTAAATTAGTCTGTGTATACACCACACCCACATATTCCCCGCCACCGGCGCAGCCCACCCCCAGCTCCTTCGAAAAAAATTCCGCCCATAGCCCACACCCCCGTATAGCCCGCACCCAGTTTTCTTGTAAAATCGCGTATACCCTGTGGGATATATGCATGAAAATACGGTAGACTTGAAGTCGCATTTAACAATTTTTACAGTAACCTAGGATGGATAAGGAGACTCCCCTTCCACTGCTTTCTGATTTGAGCACAATGAATACAAAGAGTTTGCACTTCCCTCTCATGTCGTAATTTCGATATCCATATTGCCATTTACCAGCTTTTGCCCAAGTTCTGTTTATCATACTGAACACTAAGGCAAGCTATTCATCTACTTGGTTTTGGGGCTATTCCTATACTTGTAATCTCAGTCTCATTGCATAGCAACCTCTTTCTACCTTTCCTCTTTTTGCTTACCGTGAAATGTTTTTCTAACAATAAGACAAGCATCACTAAACTAGGCCTTACCCTACGCAGTTACGAAAATATGAGTTTGAGCAGCAACTGCATGAGTGTACACATTTCACCTGCATCTTCCTGTACTAATATAGTGAAGCAAAATTGTTGCAACTTCAACCTATTACCTACCCCCCTTAAGTGTACATCAATTTAGCTCATTTGTATCACTAGAAGATGGAAAGAGCGAAGCAGTGGGGGCCAACTTTCTTGGCAGATGTGTCACAAAGGTAAGACTTACCCTCTGTAAATGCCACCTGCCCCATCTGCTGCTCTGCTTTCTACTCCCTGCCCCATTCATCACTGTTCCCTCCTGAACCTGCAACATCACACACAAACACACACACAGGCTGCCCGTGCCACTTGTAGTACGCATGCTGCAGGTTGAACACCCCTGAACTAGAGCATAAACTCCCGATTCCTAGTCTGAAAGGTAACTCTTCCTCCCTTTTGAAGTAACTGTAAAGTACTTCTACCAGATTGCCTTTTAGGAGTTGAATCATAGAAAGCTAGGGTTGGAAGGAACCTCAGGAGGTCATTTAGTCCAACCCCCTGCTTAAAGCAGAACCATCCCCAACTAGAACATCTCAGCCAAAGCTTTGTCTAGCCGGGTTTTGAAAGCCTCCAAGGATGGAGCTTCTACTGCCTCACTGGGTAACTTGTTCTAGTGTTTTACTACCCTTCTAGTGAGAAAATTCTTCCTAATATCAAATTAGAATTTCCCTTGCTGCAACTTGAGACCATTGCTACTTGTTCCGTCATCTGCCACAACTAGCTCCATGCCCTTTCAAACCTCCCTTCAGGTAGCTGAAGGCTGCTATTAAGTCTCCTGTCAGTCTCTTCTCTAGACTAAATAAGCCCAGTTTGCTCAGTCTCTCCTCACAGATCATGCACCCTAGCCCCCTCACCATTTTTGCTGCCCTCCGCTGGACTCTCTCCAATTTGTTCACATCTTTGCTGTAGTAGGGTGCCCAAAACTGAACACAGTACTACAGATGTGACCTCACCAGTGCTGAATAGAAGGCAGTAATCACTTCCCTTTATGCACTGGCAACACTCCTACCAATGCCCCGGTATGCTGTTAGCCTTCTTGGCAACAAGGGCACACTGCTGGCTCATATTCAGCCTGTTGTCCACTGTAACCCCCAGGTCCTTTTCTGCAGAGCTGCTGCCCAGCCAGCCGGCCCCCAGCCTGTATTGGTGCATGGGATTGTTCCACCCTAACTGCAAAACTTTGCACTTGTCCTTGTTGAACTGATGAAATTTCTTTTGGCCCAATCATCCAATTTGTCTAGGTCACTGAATCCTAGCCCTACCCTCCAGCTTTTCTGCTACTCCCTCCCCGCTTGGTGTCATCTGTAAATCTGCTGAGGGGGTACTCCATCCCATCTTCTACACAGTTGAAGACACTGAACAAAACCGACCCCAGAACCGACTGGGGCACTCTACTTGAGACCAGCTGCCAACTAGACATCAAGCCACTGACTACTACTCTCTGAGTCTGATGCTCTAGCCAGTTTTCTGTCCATCTTACAGTCCATTCATCTAGCTCATACTTCCTTAGCTTGCCTGAAAGAATGCTGTGGGAGACCCTATCAAAAGGCTTGCTAAAATCAAGGTCCACCACATCCACTGGTCTCCCTGCATTCACAGAGCCAGTCAACTAAAAGGCAGCAGTCGGGTTGGTCAGGCATGAACATTCCACTGTGTAGCACCACACTTTAATTAAGACGTGAACAACTTAAAAAGAGCCCAGCGGGAAGCAACAAAATGACTAGATGTCTGGAAAACATGATCCATGAGGAAAATCTGGATAACTAGGATTATTTAGGTTCAAAGAGAAAATACTGGGGATTTGAAAACTTGAAAGGTGGTCAAAAAGAGAAAGGAAATAGACAATTTTCTATGCCTGCAGGGAGCAGGACAAGGGGCAATGGTTTAAAACCGTATCAAGTGAAATTTAGGTTGGATATTAGGAAAAACTCACTCATGATAAGGGTAGTTAAGCATTGAAACAGGCTGGGGGGGGGGGGGGGGGGAAGGATGAACTTCCATTTTTGTAAGATTAAAAGAAGGATGAGCTCTTCCTGAGGTCTCTTCCAGCCCTACTTTTAAGATTTTATTATTTCCTGACTATTCAGGTGCTGCTGGCTTCCCAAGCAGCTCAGTCCCAGAAAAAAAAAAAAAAGAAGGGTCAGGCATTCTGGCTCAGCCACCTGCAGCAGCATCCTGCAGCTAGGGAGTTAACAGAGCAGCCACACTGTTTTCCTACTCCCCACCTCCCTTTGTAGCTGCCTGTGTTTTTCTTTTGAAAATACCATACCTACCAGTACTGTCAAGAAAAGAGTTTCTTCTTCATTCTGACTTAAAAAAACCCAAACAAACCGCACAAAACACATCTTTTTTGGTGGCATGCAGCATATAAGAAATTATGGTATTAGGACTTTTTGAGCATACCAATCATTATAACATCTACTCTACATACTGATGTATCATCGGATCCTATACACAGACATTCTAAGAATATAAACATAGCTACGAAGAAAGTATGGGGAAAGGACAGACATGAAACAGCCCTGCAAGGTAGAAGAAAATAGTTTTATTTTGTAACTGAAAAACAGTAGTGTACCTCCAGCTTTTTATAAAGGGAAATTCCCATAAGTTACTGGAGTGATTTATAAAGTCAGTTTGTAAACATCTTTTGGGGGATAAGGGGCATGGCAACTGCTATCTGTTAGTAACACTTGCCAAATCAAACTTATTTCCTTCTTCAACAAAATAGTTAAGTCAAGGGAATGCCATGGCCATAGTATGTTTGGACTTCAGCACAGCTTTTTATGAAGTTTCATATGCTATTCTCCAAAGTAAACTGAAGATGTGTAGATTATATTACATTATAGCAAGGTCCATACCTAGCTCAATAACAAGCAAAGAGTATTACATGTATATCAACGTCAGACTGGCAGGTGGTTTCAATGGAGTTTTACACAGATGTGTCCTGAATCCAATGTTATTTATCATGTTCATTAATGATCCAGATATCAAAATAAAAAGCTTCCCAATGAAAATTGAAGATAACATGAAAATATTTTGGAGTATAGAAGACTTCAAAAGCATACTAGAAGACTGAAAAGCTGAGCTAGATATAACAGAATGGAGCTGAACACTGACAAATATAAAAAGCAACGCCGAGAAAATAATCAAAAGCACAAACACAGAATGAGAGAGAACACGATGGGCAGTTGTGTTGCTGAGAAGGATCTGGGGGTTTTGATGGATCACAGACTCAGTGAGTCATCATTATGAATGCAGTCACAGAAAAAGCAAATGCAATTATATGCTGCAAACAGATTTATTAGTTATAAGACGCTGGAGGAGACAGTGCCATTCTAGTAGGACTTAAGGAGGACCATACTGCAGCAGACCCAGTATCCTGTGGCAGAAGTGGATGCTAGAGGGAAAGCTTTGAACAGGATACATCTGGAGTGATTTATCCCCTCCCCGCTCAATACCTTCTCTGGCATCCAACATTATTTATTTGTTTAGAGACACCAGAGGAAACATCTCCAACCATTCTATTCAATAGCCATTAACAGATCTATCACTTATTAATTTATCCAGTCCCTTGCTGAACCAGGCTATGCTATCTGCCTCCAACATCTCCTGTGGCAATGAATTCCACAAGTCAACTACTATGCATTGATCAGACCTCAGCTATAGTATTATGTGCAGTTCTGGGTTTCAATTTAAGAAGGATAGGGAAGAGCTGGAGAAGATCCAAAGGCAGGTGACAAAAAAAAGTTGAGAGAATGTTTAGCTCGGGAGAACATAATAACAACTCTCAAATATTTGAGGGGATGGGAAAAAGAAGGAAAACAACTGTTCTTCCTTGCTGGAGAGCAGAACAAACTAGTGATTTTAAAACTCCAGAAAAAAAAATTCAATCTCATGCAAAAATTCCTTGCTGTTGGAACAGTAAGGTCATAGGATGGATTGCCTCGGTAAGTTGTATACTCTCCTTCATTAGAAATTTTCAAGAGGCTAGACAGGTATTGAACAGGGAAGATTTAGGAACAGCATTCCTGTATTCATGAAGGGGGCTGGGACCCTTGAGGCCCTATGATTCTATGAACATACTATTGTTCTGGGTAGTAATTCACACTGATACTAGTGCATACCAGTATTTTAGGCCCCAGAGAGTTCTGAAAATACAGTATTGTATACAGCTGCTTAAAGAAGCCCAGTCATTCCTGACCCTTTAAAGAGGGATTCTCTCACTGAAGAGAAGTCCCTAACAAAGCAGGTCATTCAGGTGCAATAGCTATATAAGCTACTGATCAGTGGGCACATCTACCCAAGATGCTACTGTGCAGTCGTTACTGCAAATTAATTTAGTACTTATTAGCAAATCCTAAATAAATGCTCAGTAACTAGTTACTGAGCAGTAGTGCCAGTGAACCTCTTTTAGGCGATGCTACTGTGCAATAACGTATTAGCACTGTCCATGCTGTGATGTGCTACTGTGCAGCACACATCTCACGTAGATGTGCCCAGTCTAACACAAACAGAACAAAGGGGACAAAATCCTCTTGAATGAAATATATTTTTCCAAAAGCACTCATTTTTAACCAATTATTTTTAACTATATTTTTAACTAAGAGAAATAATTTATTCAAACTCCACTAACATAAGGACTAAGTTACCAAGATCAATCAAGCATACTAACCCAGCAATGATCATAGTTAACTTCATTCAACTTTTTTTTTTTTTTTTTTTTTAAAGCCAGGGACTTAATCTTTTTGCATCCTCAGTCCTCAAAAGTCTGAGGAACTTAATCCCAAAATAGCATAAACAAACAATCCTGGAGGACCAGTGTCATTTTTAACCCTCAATTTCCTCTCAATTGTTTGGGACCACCATTTGTACACATTTTTAGAAGTTCTATTCACCAAGATGAGAACAGATACAAACTGTATTATACTGCTGTTAGGAAAACAAACTAAACGTTTTTACAACTTTGATATCTGTAACATGGAGGTACTCGTCTGAAGAGAAACATTTTCATATTTGCCAATGGAATGAACGGGAAAGTGAAACTAAAGGCTTCATCTGGGGCATGTACCATTGCAGTTGCCCACATGTGACTAGGCTATACATTTGAATGCATAACAGGCTCAGTTCCCATTCACAAAGAGGTAATTCTGCTGCTTTTACAGGCTGTATTCTGTGTACACAGTTCTGTAATACTGGAACCAATCTACTTGCCATGGGGGGTTCATGTATTAATGGCCCCGCCCATTATATCCCAAACATCCATTTAATTTCCTTGGAACACAGTATACACAATAGAAAATAAAAACAATAAAAGCAACGCAAGTCACTGTTCTTAAATACACTCAAGCATTAATGAACAGAAAACCACTTACTTTTTGCTGCGTTCTTCATGGCCATTGGCACTGCTCAACTTGTTCTCATCCTAAGCAGGGTTGATAGAAGAACATCGTGAGGACGAAGCGGAAACATTGCAAGTGGTCAAAGGGTAATGGGAATAGGAATAAGAAAATACAAAACAAAAATTTTAATACTAAATTACTTGTTTATAGATTTATATGGAAAGCTATAAAACATTTAGGTAGGCATGTTTAACCACTTTGCTGCTTACATTTAAATCATACATTTATAAGAAATAATTAAACTGTTTAAAAATATATTAAGTTGATGTACTTCCTTACATGTAGTTAATTATCTTGTAGAGTTCAGCATTCAAGTGGTTAAATATTATTTCTATAAAATGTAAGAGGAAGTTTCAGATTTATGCATTTTGTGCCTTTTGATCAATACCAAGGCTATATCTCTGCCTAAGCCCCAAGTGGCCAAGCTAGCAGCCAGCCACTAGCGATTTCCTGTGACCGATGCCATTCCCGAGATCTTCGCTCATTTTCGTTGGAGGGTTGTTAGAGCTTGATGCCACATCTGTCACACATCTCGCCCTGAAGCAAACAGGGATTCACACTGCTTTAGTAACGTCGACTCCCAAGAAAGTCATCAATAATCCACCAGTCCAGCCTAAACATTCCCTATTTCCATACCTGTTTACATGGAAAATATCCATGTTAAACTAGGACACAAGAATCTTAACATTACAATATTACAACTCTCTCTCCAAGATTTATATAACTGCTAAATTTACATAAAAATAAATATACAGCATTAAAACAAAAAACAAAAAACAAAAAAAACCAAACAAACTTACAAATAGCCATCCAAAATTGTTACCACATGATTGTGATAAATACTCCAGAATTTACAGTAGGTATTATATATAAATATTATGTATGATTTACAGTTTAATCACACAAGTTACGCCATGAATACAACTATTTAAACTTCATACACATTTCTTGTGAAACCAGTGCTAATGCATGCATAATGTTAACACTTTCACCACCGTTTGGTGAAAAAAACCAAAAAATAAAAATAAATAAATAAATAAAATAGAAAAAAAGACAGTATACATTTGCTGCCTGTTTAAGTCAGAAACTAAGTACAGCACTATTCTAGCCATTCATAAGTTTAGCAGAATTTTGGGTCAAAATTGGCAATTCCTAATTGAACAACTAGGACAGAAGAATACAACAGCAATTTATTGAATGACACTGCAGACTGTGATACTGTCTTTTACTTGCTAAGTCTGTAACTATTCAGGGATCCAAGAATTCACTCAGCAATTGATTTCGACCTGTCCTGCTAAGATTAACCATCACCAGTGTCCTGAATAAAAAAAACAGTCACACTCCTCTTGCACTGAGCAGACAGTTTAATGATTTACTTGCCATGGACTGGTGAAACGGTTATTCTTGGAACCCTGCTGTTTTCCCAAACCACTGCATTCACCTTGTTGCTATACCAAACTGGAGCTGGCAATTTTAGGAGTATTTTTTTTTTTTAATTTTTTTACCTAGGGGACCACGGTACAGCGATACGTCACTCAATTACTACCTTATGATTGACAGTTCACACTGGAATCAAAGGTGAATTCATGGGAGTAGAGGTGAGATATCGTTAGGCAAGTCTACAAAGAGAGATAGATGGGCATTTATTCATCACGCTGAAGTGAAACTACTGCACAATATAATTACATTTACAGTATATATTTACTTGCAAGTTACATGTAATGCATCTCCAATAAGATAAATCATGAGGGCTCCAGGGATGTTAGTTTACAGTTCAGCAGTAGTTTCATGAATAATGCTAAATTAAGGTAAAAAAAAATTGCAAGACCTCACTGGCACATTTTTCTCACCTTCTTGTAAGGAGCCTCAAGCATTGCTTCAATATCAATATCATCAGCCATTTTTCAGGACACCTGAAACAAAGAGCAACATCACATCAGACGTGTACTCTATCCCATACAAATAGAACTGCTATAGTATAAAGTAAGTTTTGATAATACAGCTAGTGATGGGATCTCCCAAGTTTCAAAAAATGATATAACCAAGTGAGAAATATCCAACAGAAAAGAACTGGGCATGAATAAAAAGTCCAAGTGTAATCTACATACTGAGACAGTAAAAACGATATAGGCACCAGCCAGTCTTGGCTTTGAACACAAGATACACAATTAAGTTAACCATCATAAAGCAAAAGCTTCCATGTTTACTACCTGCTTCTTATTAAAATGCAAAAAAATATGAAAGATCTGTTTGCATTAGTTAGAATTCAGAAAAGGGTTTGACAACAGCCATCCAAAGAAACCCATATAACTGAGAAGGCAATTTCTGGCAAAGTGGGAATTAGCATTTGTAAAATCTAAAGTTTTTCTAGGACTAAGAAGAGTCATAATGGTCAGGGGTTGTACCAGATGGCCCTTGTGGTCCCTTCCAATCCTACAATTCTATTAACTAATCTGACTTTCTGCAGAACACCAGTAAGAACTAGTTTTATCTAGAACATACTAGACACATTTTCTCTTGATTAAAAAGTTGAAATCAATTTCTTTTGATTAAAAACATCAAGTTCCCTGAGAAGGGAGAAGAGCCCTACCCTGCTTCACTTCGTTGCAGTTGGAGCTGGGCCAGGCAGCGCGCACACACCTTCCCCAGCTCCCCCACCTTCCTGTTGGCACTGTAGCTATGCAGTCCTGGCAGCACGGCCACTGGACTGGCATGGGACAGGGTGTGATGCAGCACACTGAGTAGCTGCCCTGCCCTGTCCTGCCTGCCTCCTGTGAGGAGCTGCTGCTGTTGCGGCACTGCTAGTCTCTGCAGGTTGTAGGGAGTGCTCAGCTTTGGGCAGCCACTTGCAACTTTCCTGGTGCAGCAGGCAGGATGGCTACTTGGTGTGCTACATTGTGCCCCATCCTGAGGAGATTGGGGGGGGGAGAGGGAGAGAGAGAGAGAGAGAGAGAGAATAGGAGTCTGCATGCTGCACAGCCCAACCTCAGCTACAGCAGAGCAGAGTTGGGCACAGCCCTGCCTCCTCAGGCTTGCAGCAGCTGGTAGACCAGATAGGTTCAATTGCTGCCCCCACCCTTAACAGCTTACCAAAATTCCTTTTGTGGCCCTCCAGCCCAAATAATTGCCTTCTAGTAGTTACCAAGTTAAAGAATGATCTTGGTTTGAGTTCCTCATTTTTAGTTTTTCAGCTGACAGCCACTAAATCTTGCTAGCTCATTATATTAATGTCCCTTTACTATCCAACTCCTTCTACTCATGTAGATACTTGCAGATTAATTAAGTCACTTCTTAATCTTTTGTTCACTAAAATAGACAGATTTTAATTCCTTAAAGCTCTTGCAGAAAAGCATGTTTCATTCCTTATTTGATAATTTTTTAACTGTCAAGGTCAGAAAGGACACAATACAATTGCTTCATTATATACAGAAGTAAAACTATTTGTGTATTCCATATAATATCCTACTTGGATCCAGGGATAGCATTAGTTCAGTGGTTTTCAACCTTTTCTCATTTGTGGACCCCTAATTTTTTTTCAACTGGATGTGTGGACCCCTTTGAATTGTAAGTGTGGTTATTCACATACTTCTGATTGATCACAAACCCTTAGACACAGACTGCAGACCCCAGGTTGAAAACTACTGCACTGTTAGTGCATTGTTTGCAGCACTTCCAAGGTGAAACTCATGCTGCATCAGATCTCCAGCACATCTCCACATAAATCATTGCCATACCCTGCTTTCTGGGATACAATCCCTCTACTACCTTACAGGAAAAACATGTTCTCCATTTCTAACTATAGGGCTTTGTATTTAGCTGTGTTAAAATAAAGTTCATTTATACGCAACTTTTAAAACTACTCAGCCACTGTAATTCAGCCTCATTACAGCTTTATCGATGCTTTTCAGACAAATTTTATTAGCACTGATGAAGACAGAGTAACATTGAGTTAACAGATTCCTGTTGGACCGTAGTAGCACCTCATCTGATGAGACACTCATTAACAAACACACACATAAGTATGGAGTCCAAATACTATAACCTTAATTATGTATAATGTGATATTTTTGTATGCGATGTGGAACTAGGTCAAATACTACAGGTATCTAGCATATAAAACCATTACCTTTGTAACCAAATTCGCAACAGAAAACACCCAGTACTTTTTAAACAGTTATTTTCTATAAAGTTAGTATTCACCAATTTAAAAATGATATAAAAGCATTAAAAACTAGACAACTTCTATGAAAGGTAGAGAAAGACTCGTGACAAATCATTAAATAGATCAAACAAGATTAGGGGAAAGAGAAAACTTGACACTCCTGATATCTCTAAAAATAAAATCTAGGCATAAAAAGCCTTCTAAAAAAAAAAAAACCAAAAAAAACCTCAGGTCCCTGAGGCAAAATGTTGCAAGGGATGTAAAAACCAGGCATTTTTTTTAACCTGGAATTCTCCCCTTTTTCTCTGCTTTTTACTGCCTTATGATGCATACAGAAGTCTTAAGAAGCCATTGCCTCCTTATTTTTCCCCTTAAATTCCATATAGGCTAACTTTCTTTTCCTTTGGTTTTGCTGGAAGACTCCTGGGAGGTCTCAGGAGTTTACCGTAAGCCGTAACATCTGCAGTGAAAGGGAAAGAATATTGAATTTTTTTCAGTAGGCACATTCCCACCATAAAAATGGCTTTTTTATTATCAGCTACAAAACTAACAAATAAGACCGCTTACATGCGTTTGTGTGTTAAGAAAATGAAATGTAGAACAGTTAACCCTCAAGCTGCTGACAGGCGAGAACCATCACCTTACCTGCACCTAGGATTCTGTCCCAGTGCAAACTACTACGTTTTAGCTCTCCCAGTGCTATGAACCCCATTTCCTTTCCTCCGTGCTTTAGTCAGGAAGTCTGAGGAGCTAACGAAGACCAGCGTTTCCAGCCAAATGATAAAGCACCTTCCCTCGCATCCACGCTTGCTCTTGGCTCATGCCACCAACAGAACCCCAACGTTTAGGCCACTAGTCTTTCAGCCTCCCTGGAACCTTGTTTTTTGCACTAAGCCAGCAAGATTTTTCAAACACCTTCCCTAGATTTAATTCCTCAAGAGACATGCACAGAGTAGGGGGCCCTGGCCACGCTCAGCAGCGTCATCACGGGGGAGCTTAGGGAGGGACAAGCAAATCGCCAGGGGCAGTTAGGGGGTAGGCCCGGCCCAGCCACTACACAACTGTTGCAGGTGAATTTTCAAGCCAAGCCCTGTAACGCGGAGAGGCCGGACACAGCCCCACGGCGGGGAGCAGAGGCCTCCGGCATGGAGGCCGAGCGGGCGTCGCTGGCGGGGTCACGACCGAGCCCAGGCGCGGGCCCCAAGGGGCGGCCGGGCCTCTCCGGAGACTTGTGCCTCTCGCTGGGCCGAACGGAAGGGGTGCGCGGGGCCCGCTGCTGGGCGCGGGCCGGGCGCAGCCCGCACGGTTACCTGCGCTGGGGCGGCGGCTCCTCCTGCTCAGGTGCCCGGCCGGCGGCGGTTCCCGGCTCCGGCGTCCACTGCGCGCAGGAGAACACAGGCCGGGGCGCGCGAGTCCCTGGCGAGGCGGGTTGGCTGCTCCCTGAAATGGCGCCCGCTGCTTCTCGCTGCTCAGGAGGTCCGCGCACTGGCACGGGGACACCTAGCGCTCTCCGCACGGGCTCTCGCGAGACCGGGGCCGAACAAGGCTGAGCTCGCCACAGCCTCCCATTCTCGCGAGACAGCGTCTCCGGAACTAGCCACCAGCTCACGCGCGACAGTAAACAACTGGCTGCCTACGCTCACTTCCGATGTCACGGCTTCGTGTTCTCGCGAGAATGTACCGGTGGTGCGAGAACGTGGGGAGGTTGAAGATGAAATCTGGAAATTTAAAGGGAACGGCGGCCACTGAATCCTGGGAGGTCTTAGGACTTCCGTTATCATTTCCCGGCCTCTGCCGAGACCTCAGTATGAAGCTCGCGCCTCTCTGCCCCGGTTAGTCCTTCAGGCGTGCCCTGCCCCTCTCTGCCTCTTCCCAGGGCTGTGATTTAAAGAAACAGGAACACAGAACCAGGCCCCCGGGGCCAGTAAGTGTGGTCTCTGCTTCGCAGGCAGCCCTTGACCCAAAGGCTTCCCGAGTCACCAAAGAGAAATAAAAAAAAAAAATCTAAATTTAAAAAGTGACGGTACCAGGATACAACGTTTCTCACCCAGTCAAATACTTCACAGCCCTGACAGTGTAACATTTTATGTATCTTTTAAACCTTATTAAGTCACCAGTCAAAGCATTCAGAAAACAAACCAGAAACAGACCACGCCCAGAAATGCTAGATAGCTGCCAGGAATATCTAGCACCTGCTGCAGGCCAAAGCAGGGGAGAGGAGGGTACTGCCAGCGTGCTGTCACTGCATATGCAGAGAAACAGCTGGGTAATACGTGCTCAGGTGATCCTAGGAAAAGGCTTATACCCACCTTACAGAGGAAGGCAAAACAACCACAATCTGCACCAATCTGACTTCAGAGATATATTTTCTTTTCTGATCCCAGATTTGGTGATCAGTAGGGCTCCAAGTAATTTCTAATACAAGCAGGAGCATCAGCTCAGTCAAAGAAGCACCCATCTTTAACTGCCAAACATTCAAATGCTAAACAGGAAAGTGGAACCCCCCCCAGAAGACAATAGCAATTATGGGGGGTTCCTTCCTGGCCCCAACTGGAACTAGCAAAGCCTCGAGGCATGGGTATACCAGATATCTTCCTCACTACATTGTATTAGCAAACATTCAGAGTCAGTTTTATGAATATACATATTTATTGGGAAGTGAACTATTGCTGGTATCAGAACTGTATAACAAAGAAAAAAATCTTGGTTGTGTTTTCAAAAAAGTTCCCCTCACTGTCCACTGAGGCTGAATGAAAGAGATGCTGCTACAGGAAGTAAGCAGAAAATCTAAGAAAGAAAAAATCATCCACACTGTATTGTGGCTGCTGGGATATTACCCTTAAGGCACATTGTTTCATAATCTGTTCCAAGCAGCTGCAGGATGTCCTGATTCACCTCTTGAGCCTTTTGCCTTTCATCCAGAATACAATCCTGCCGTTCTGAGATTCCTCAGCCCCAGGCTTGACAGTCTTGACCAGTTCTGAAAACATCTTTTCTTTTATCAGTTCCTTTTTCCTCCTTACCATAATAATTTTCTCAGCACGAGTAGAAGGGACAGTCTTTAGTAATATCCAGGAAT